TCCAGCACCTCCATGTCCTTTTGGAGTGTAGGATGACCGGGCTGTCAGGACATGGACCACCCAAAACCCATCAGCTGGGTTCTTTTTGGGTCACCAGCCTCTCCCCATGGTACTTGCATAGTTGAGAATCATAGAATCCCAGACTGGTTTGGGTGGGAAGGGACCTTAAAGCTCATCCAGTTCCAACCCCCCTACCAGCAGCAGGGACACCTTCCACTAGACCAGGTTGCTCAAAGCCTCATCCAGCCTGGCCAAGAACACTTCCAGGGAGGAGCAGCCACAACTTCCTTGGGCAACCTGTTCCAGTGTCTGACCACCCTCACAGTGAAGAATTGCAATTAATTTTATGTATGGAATTAAAATAACATCAGTTCCTATTAACAGACGACAGCATCATCCATATCAAGCAAGAGGAAGAGTTGTGTGCTGCAAATCAGCAGGAGGAGGAGGCTGGAGAAGCTCCTGAGGAGCCCTGCCCAGGTGAGTAACTTTTCATTTCCCTCGGAGGGAAAATGAAACACAGGAGTTAAATTCCAACTTGGGTTTTATTTTTTGGGGTTGTTTTTTTTTCCCCCACATTTTCTCATATATTCCAAATCTTTTATTAAAAAAAACCTCCCAAGTTTTGAAGAGACTTGGCACAATTCCTGAGAAGGAAGGGCTGGTGTTCCATCCTTCCCTTCTCACGGCCACTTTGGAGTTCACAGAGCACACGGCAGGTTTTCATCCAAACAAGCGCAGTGTGGAATAGGAAATCTTTCATTCTCCCTTAAATTCCTTCCTTTGCTTCCCTCAAGTTGGGAGCTGGTTAAATAGCAAGTGCCAAGTGGGTCATTAGTCACTTTTTAGGGACAGTGGGTTAAGTTGGAGGAAACAAAAATCAGTGCCAGGCTGAGGTTTGTGGTTGGTGCACGATCCTTGTCGGGGCTGCGACTGCGCGGAGGCAGGACTGCTCCGGGGGAATCGGAGTGGTTGTGGCAATTCCTCAGCTCCACGTCCCCTGCAGCTTTCTCTTGTGGGGCTGCAGAATTTCTCCTGCATATCCAGAGGCTTCAGGTTCCCTTTTCCCCCTTCCCTTCCCTTCCCTTCCCTTCCCTTCCCTTCCGTGGTTTTTCTGCGTACAGGAGCGATCGCACCGACTCCTCGGTAGAGCTCCAGCCGCACGGGGAGGCCACACAGCCCAGGGACTTGTTTCTTGCCTTTTCACTTGGTTTGTGTTAAAATATCCTGCTTTGGATCTTGGCTGTCCCTGCTCTTTACAAAAAGTAGCAGTTGGCTCTGCTGCAATTTTACTTGGTTTTCAGTTTATGCAGCAAACTGGGATTTTTAGACTTTTCCATCAGGTTTCGTTAAGAAATTGGGCTGATGGGAGCTTGGTTTGGGGGCAAACAAAAACCACCACGAGAGCAGGTTTCACCCTTGTGAAATCCTGAGCTTGCACGGTTGTGATACACTTGTCTTCAATTTTCTTTAAGCAGAACAAGAGTTTTATGAGCCTGAGGCTTCAAATCAGACCAAGAAAGGCAAAGAGGCCTACACCAGGGAGCTGCCAGACGCGGAGGGTGAGGATCTCCCGAGAGACCCTGACGCAGGTGAGGGTTCCCTGGCAAAAAACTCCCACTGCAGGAATTACCCCTCAGGTGGCTCTTCATGTCCTGTCCTCTCCGAGGCTTTGTTATTCTCTTTCTTATCTCTGTGAATTCCCAGATCTTTCACGCTTTTCTCAGTGGTGTAAATTCTCCGTGTTGAACAGGATTTCAGACTTACCCAGCGGATGTTTTATCCTGGATTAAACAAGAGGAGGAGCCACGCTGCCCAGAACCACAGGACTTGGAGAAAGAAGAAAACTCTCCAGATTCCAGTACAGGTTAGTCATGGATGTCAGCTGATTTCTGGGAGAATAAATAGAATAAAAGTCCTTTCCCTTTGGGGAAGGACTTTTCCTAAGGGCAGTTAATGACAAAACAAGGGGAAATGAGTTTAAGCTGAAAGAGGGGAGGTTTAGATTAGATATTAGGAAGAAGTTTTTCACTGTGAGGGTGGTCAGACACTGGAACAGGTTGCCCAAGGAAGTTGTGGATGCCCCCTCCCTGGAAGTGTTCTTGGCCAGGCTGGATGAGGCTTTGAGCAACCTGGTCTTATTTACTTTGTCCATTAGCTTGACATGGCTGTAGGTTTGGAGGGATGTTCTTAAGAGCACTGGGACAGGTTGCCCAGAGAGGTTGTGGAATTTCCCTCTTTGGAGATATTTCAAAAACCATCTGGATAAAATCCTGGATGATGTGTTTGAGCAGGGGGAGTTGGAACTAGATGTGACCTTCAGAGGCCCCTTCCAACCTCAACCACTCTGTGATTCTGTGATCCTGTGGTTCTGTGATCCTGTGGTTCTGTGATCCTGTGATTCTGTGATTGATTAAGAGAATTCCTGGATTGAAAGACTCTGAAATCTCTCTTTCAGTGCATGATGAAAACACAAAGAGAGACACTGCAGCAGATTGCTTGGAAAGCACCGCACCGGCGTGTGACTTGGAGGTACCAGCAAGACCTAGAGAGAGGTTTTCCAAGGATCCTAGTCCTGGAGTGACATGGGACAGTCAGTGGAATTCAGAAATGATGGAAACAAACACCAGTGGGAACAGCCTTGTGGGTGACACTCAGCATGACCGGGGGTTTGGTGAGCACTTGGATTTCTTTAGTGCTCAAGAAAACAGTGTTGGAAAGAGACCGTGTGCGTACAACAAATGTGAGAGGAATTCCAGCCAGCAGGAACATCTCCACACTCCCCAGGGAGCCCGAGAAGGGGAGATGTTTCCAGGCCCCACATGTGAGAAGAATCTCAATGAAAGGATGTTCCACCTGCTCCACTCGCAGCCGTGTCCTCCAGGTGAGAAAGACATTGGGCAGGGGTCTGCTCCTGCCTCCTGCGAGGGGCTGCCCGCGGGGTCGCAGCTGGTGGCACCACGCACCGAGCGTGGACAGAACCCTGCAGGTGGAACCAGGAGGCTTCCTGACCACAACAGCCTGGGTGGAGAGGAGAACCTGTCTGTGGAAAACGAGGAGAACTTCTCCACAGAAAACCCATTGTCCAGTCCCTGCTGGGACCATCCACAGGACAAGTCGGACGCCTGCACCAGGTGCCGGCAGCAGCATTTTGCACCACGGGGCAGCGCCACAAACCAGCAGCAAAACCAGAGCCGGGGCAAGTCCTACATCTGCAGTGACTGTGGGAAGAGCTTTGTTTGCCATTCCTGGCTCGTTAGACACCAGATGACACACACGGGAGAGAGACCCTACAAGTGCTCTGAGTGTGATAAAAGCTACAGGAGAAAAGATTATCTCCTAAACCACCAGCGCCGGCACTCGGGAGAGGGGCTTTTCCAGTGTCCCCTCTGCAGGAAAAGGTTTGTGCTCAGGAGGAGTTTCATGAAGCATCGGGAAAGTCACGTGCAAGAAACACATCTGACGCTGGCGGGTTGGCCCTGCGCAGAGATCAGGGGGTCTGTCATGCACTCTGTATAAAACCCCCTCCAGCCTGGTGGGGTTTCACAGCCCCCTTGGCTGTCACCTTTGCTGGGCAGGAGGAAGGGTCGTGGCAGGATCCCCCAGCTCCGTGCTGGAGCCTGGAGGGAGGAGGCTGTGGAACAGCCCACCCTGAGCCCCCTCCCAGGTAAAGGGAGAAGGTTGGGGGGTTATTTTCCAGAGACAGTGGAGCTGTGGCCGGTGCCCGTAGCCGTTCGGGATGTGTCGGAGCTGCGTTGGAAATCTGCACTGCTGAGAGTTACTGTTTGTGAATCCACGTGGCACAGAAATCACATCAGCACACAGAACAGTTCCTGGAGGAGATCTGAGGTGTGATCCCCGGGGCTGCTTAGAGTCCAGAGTCCAGGGGTTGGGCTGAAAATGAGTTAAAGATACTAATTGTCCATGAAACAAAGTGAAATGGGGTCAGGAAACGCCCACTTGGGTGAAATACCTGGAGAAAGGAAGCGTGTTGATCCTGTGGCTGCTTAAAAGAAGCGTCTTCAGGAAGTGGCAACTAGAGAGAGGGGAGCAGAGCTGGGAAGGCAGCTTGTTCCTGCAGTTAAATCCTGGGGCTCTTTGCTGCTGACCCCCAAGAGAGGGTTCCTGGAGCTTGGAGTCCTCACCTGGAGCTGGAAAATGATGAAGGAGCTGGAAGATGATAAAGGAGCTGGAAGATGATGAAGGAGCTGGAAGATGGTTTTCATTTTGCGTAGCCTTAAAATTATGTTGCACTTCACTTTACCCCATCGCTACAGATCTTCTCTGTTCATTCCATTTGCCAAATCCAACAAAAACCAGAACATCTAGAAGTGTTCTTGGCCAGGTTGGATGAGGCTTTGAGCAACCTGGTCTAGTGGAAGGTGTCCCTGCTGCTGGCAGGGGGGTTGGGACTGGATGAGCTTTAAGGTCCCTCCCAACCCAAACCAGTCTGGGATTCGATGATTTAAGATGCTCGTTAAACATTCTCCTTCAAAAATTGTATTTTTCTTCACATTCAGTGTCTCTGAAGGGAGAGAGCACTGAGAGTCACGTGTTGTGACACTGTGAGGACACAATTCATTCTTTTTAAGAATAAAAGAATCTGGAAATATCATCTGTCGTCGCCTTGGTGATGGCATCAAACGTCGTGAGGAAAAAATACAGCAGCAGCAGCAGCAGCACTGGCTGAGTCTGTTTTGATCCAGGGCTCCTTCGCTGTCAGACAGGTGTGGTAAACTGGGAAAGAATAGATGAAAAGATAAATACAGGAAAAGATAAATACATGAAAAGATAAATACATGAAAACCTAAATACATAAAAAGATAAATACATAAAAACAAGCAGAGATGTAATTTGGTGAGAAATAGGAATAAAAATCTCTGGTGGTAAGGATGGAAAAAATGATATTGGACATGGGAAAAGAAAGTGAAACAAATCAGTTGCTGTGAGGGCACAAGAAGAGATGGAAATAAGCACAGCCATGTAATGCTGGTCAATGTTTAAGAGGATTTAAAAAAGGCTTTTTCAGGTGTATTGTGGAATGGAAATAAGAGAGAAAAATAATGTGATCAATGAACCAGGATTTGTATTTAAAAATACCAAGGAAAGATTTGAAAGCAGCCTGTTAACATGCATGTTTCTGCTCAGGTTTTGTTAGGATGCTTTTGTTGTTGTTGTTGTTGTTGTTGGGTGGAAATGTCTCTTTATAAAAAAATTAAAATTCTGTGAGGAATGTCGTGCGTCAAAAAAATGAGCAAAATGAGGCCAAAGTCGGGGTCTCCGTCCCCCAAACCCCGAGTTCAAGGTGGAAATAACCGAGGGTGGCGAAGGGGGAGCAGCAGGTTTCTCCTCAGGCTGCGATGCGGCTCGTCCTGCCCCTCCAGCCAGGGGGACACCGAACGTTCCCCCCCCAGCCTCCGTCCTCCGGGGCAGCGCATC